TATGTATATGTATATATATGTACATATATATGTATATATATATGCATATATATGTATACGTATATGCATACATATATGTATATATATGTGTATATATATATATGTGTACATATATATGTATATATATGTATTTATACATGTACATATACGTATACATATATGCATGTATATATTTGTACATATATGTATATATATGTATGCATGTATATATATATATACATGGTTCACTGTGCATATATGTATATGCGGTGGGGCGGGGTGAAACCCGAGACGAACAAAATTAAAATCAGAAAAGAGAAGCCTCCAGAAATTTAAAATAATTGAGAGAAACGAATGGTGTGGGAGAAAAAGTGTGGGAAAATAGGTAGTTTAATAGAATAGGCAGAAGTAAATATGAAAACATTGGAGATGGGATGGGCATTGTTACTCGAGCACTGCAGCTGCTATAACTTAAAAATGCCTCTCCTGCTGCTGCTATAACTACTAACTACTAACTCATTCACAAAATGGAATGCAGCAAACTCTTTATGGATTGCAGTTGCAGCCACTAAGCAGACAAGAGTGGCAGGCCTGAGAACAAGAGGAGGAGTCTGGAGGCGGAGGTTTTCCTGGCATGAGTGAATTACAAGTCAATCTGAATTCTCATCACACACATTTGCACTTATCAAACAATCCCATCGCTTTCCCACATCTCCTTGAGTAATTCCATGGCAAACTAGTAGTTTACCGGTTTATCAATGCAGTAAATCATAACCGATGGATTAGCTTTCTTGTAGACGCACTCGAATTAACAGCTGAATCAGAGAACAGTCACTTACTGCCGAACTTTCCGAAAATTTTAGCTTGTGCTTCATTGATTTCACCGGTGTTTCATTTTAATTCCAGCAGCTATCGCAGACAATTTCCAGTGTTTTTTACGCGTTTCCTTCTCACTAATAAAATGACAAAACTCCTGATGTTAATATCCTGTCTGCGCGCATATGTGAGTTTTCGGGCATCTGTCCGGGTTTTTAAAACCAACAACCAAACAAGCTAGAAAACTGAAATTTTATGAAGATATTTCCTGTTCATGTGCAGCTCCGAAGACGTAAAACCAGTGTTCATGTTTACTCAAGTCTCATGTACGAGCAAATGAAGTTCGAAAAAGCAATGCTGCATCATCACTTTGGAAGTCAGGCAAGGTAGAAAGCTTAAATTCTGTGAGGACGCTTCCTGCCCATGTGCCGCCCTACAGATTTACGGTCAGTTTTCACGCGCGCCTATGTGTTGTTATGGACGTGAAATTTCAAACTCTAAAATTTTTGGCATGCTTCTAACTTGAAAAGCAGACCAGCCAGAAAGTTGAAAGTTCACGGAGATTTCCTCTGACCAATTAAAATTCAAACTTCTTTATCGGCCGAAAGGATAAGATGTTCTTTAATCGCTGCAACAGAGACATCGAAGTGTATAGTTCAAAAAATGCAATAATAATTTATAAGCATTTTAGGCACTGCAACATATATAAAATAAAGCAACGTTGAAACTTATTTTGAAAGAAATTCGTATCTCGTAGTCGTTACAATGCATTTTAAAGCCAGTGTATCAAGAGGACATTAAATATTAATTGTCCAAATTTTCAAGACTGAGTCCTGTCCTGCTGTAATAATCTGCTTCGCATTGAGCCAAGCAATGCCATTGACTGGGCTCATCGAATGTGCTCCTGAAAAACTACGCAAACATCTGATACAAAACAGCCATGAAGAAATAAATAAACCTGCATCCTGAAAATCGCAAGACTGCTAACCCCTAGCTGAATGAGTCCTGTTGATGGTTCAAGGATTGAGATTAATAGCGAATGAAGTGTGCATCCAAGCAACACCATCCCTAATGCCCAAAGGCCAGCAACATTCAGATATTTTTGCATAACCTTCTCACCCAAACAAACACAGTGTAAAGCAGAAATGATAGAAGCTTCGTATAATAACCTCTAATGATTACTGGATGTTCACCACTGTGTTTTAAATCCCAAATGATAACATTTGTATCGATACTACCAGTGGCAATAAATCGACTGTCCGCTGACCAGGCACAGCAGTTCACTCGTGCCGTATGAAATGTCCATTCCTTCTCTGAAGCCGATTTGTAATCATTGTCAACCGCGTAAGGCACCACCTGAAGCGAACATGGGAAGCGTAAACTGTAACGGAAAGTTTTCTGCTCTCAGTATAAAATTTTAGGGAACAGCAAACAGAAAGCACTCTACCAACAGT